TCAATTGTAAGATAAAAATAAATTCAGATCACCTTGCAAAAGTTGTGCCACATTTTTCCCAGACTCGACAGCTCATTTTATGCTAACAAAATTCAGTATCCTTCTGACACCCTACTAAGTGAGGTGGGGGTGGGGGGGGGGGGGGGGGGGAGTAGGCCTCTTCCTCTTGAGTTCCTCCTCCTGTGATTCTTCTTCCTGTGATTCTTCTTCCAATAATTCCCAAAGGCAATATCCAGGCCTGATAAAAATCTGATTTAAAAATCGGTTTCCTGATACTTACCAATTTTTTTTCCCCCGATTTTTCCCTTATTTTGTCTACTCATCCCCATTTTCCCTATCATTTCCCAATTTTTCTTACTCTCAAGGGGGGAAATGTTGTTAGATGCCATTTTTTCCCCCGAATCTCTTTTTTTTCTCAAGGGGGCGTGATTGAGGGGGAAAAAAAAAACACCTATTTTTTTTAATGCTCACTATCACCCCTTGCATGTCTTGCATGTAGTGTGTAGCATACAAACATTATTTATCATACACAGAGTTGCATGGCACGATTTAAAAAGCATTGATTTAAACAGTTTTGTGTCACGTCAGCATTATTTAGGTTGTTGTAATACAAGACCTTAATGTTGGTTATCAGTTCTACTATGCACATAGTTGTTTAGTCAAATGAGTAGCTTGAACCTAGGTCTGTCACTATCAGTGATGCAAACACACTTAAAGTCCGTATTGGGTTATCTTTTTTTTTCTATTTTATAAGAAATTTTCTGTGTGACTCTTCCTCCCTCCTTTTTATCATTTTCTCTCATTATTCCCTATGTAGTTCTTTATGTTTATTGTTTGACCTTTTTCCATATTCCCTTTGTTATTCTCTAATGCTATACTTCTTTTATCTCTTCTATTATCTCCTACACATATTTTTATGCCTCCGCCACGAAGGTGGTGCCGGAGGCATCATGTTTTCGGGTTGTCCGTCCGTACGTCCGTCCCGTTTGACCGTTATCACAATATCTCAAGAACCATTTAAGATTTAAACTTAAGACTCGGGAATAGTATTTATCACCATAGGAAGACGATCTGATTAGATTTTGGAGTACGTAGGTCAAAGGTCACAGGTCACAGAGGTCAACTTATGAAATTCCTTGTATTGAGTTTGTTAGCGCGATATCTCAAGAACATTTGAGATTTAAACTTCAAACTTAAGGATAGTATGTATCACCATAGGAAGACGATCTGATTAGATTTTGGAGCACGTATGTCAAGGTCAAGGGTCACAGAGGTCAACTTATGAAATTCCATACATTGAGATTGTTATCATGATATCTCAAGAACCACTGGAGATTTAAACTTCAAACTTAGTGATAGTGTGTATCACTATAGGAAAAACAATCTGATTACATTTTGGAGCACGTAGGTCAAAGGTCAAGGGTCATAGAGGTCAACTTATGAAATTCCATACATTGAGATTGTTATCATGATATCTCAAGAACCACTGGAGATGTAAAAACTTCAAACTTAATGATAGTATGTATCACCATAGGAAGACGATCTGATTAGATTTTGGAGCACGTAGGTCAAAGGTCAAGGGTCACAGAGGTCAACTTATGAAATTCCATACATTGAGATTGTTATCATAATATCTCAAGAACCACTGGAGATTTAAACTTCAAACTTAATGATAGTGTGTATCACCATAGGAAGACAATCTGATTAGATTTTGGAGCACGTAGGTCAAAGGTCAAGGGTCATAGAGGTCAACCTATGAAATTCCATACATTGAGATCGTTATCGCGATATCTCAAGAACCACTGGAGAATTTTCACTTCAAACTTAATGATAGTATGTATCACCATATCATAATATCTCAAGAACCACTGGAGATTTAAACTTCAAACTTAATGATAGTGTGTATCACCATAGGAAGACAATCTGATTAGATTTTGGAGCACGTAGGTCAAAGGTCAAGGGTCACAGAGGTCAACTTATGAAATTCCATACATTGAGATTGTTATCATGATATCTCAAGAACCACTGGAGATTTAAACTCCAAACTTGTTTAAATTGCTCTATGGCGGAGGCATCATTTTCGACTGCGCGCAGTCAAAATTCCATCTAGTTTCCAAATATTTTGTAATTAATCTTTCCTTCTGTATAAAAAATAATTCTTACACCTTTTCTTACTTTCCTTACTTCTCCTTTATTTTGTCTTAAAGCCTTTTGTCTCTTGATCTTGGCTTTGGCTGAAATGACATGATTTTCTGGGATTTTTAAAATTTTATTCTCACTTTTTTGTAAATATACTTTTTTATGCATTTGTTGGAAAATGACAAATCCCCAAATTCATAATCAGGCAAAAAATATACTTTTTTAGAAGCCTACATGTCAGTACTGAATTGTTTATTATTGGCAAGTTCTTGTGCAAAATTTCACCTGGAACTACTTTTTCAGATTTTTCTGTAAGTTTTCACCCAATCCAGTTTGTCAAAGCAGTTGGATTTTATTCCTTTTAATTCCATTTAGTTGCTTAACTTCAACACACAGCCCCTTCTTTTTCATACGTAAACAGCTAAGAAAATGAGTAGTATAGAATTCATTACATACCATACATGTAGCTACCTGTACAATGTACTTTTATACCACACTTGAGCGAGCATGAATCATTGACTAGCCTGCAGGGACAATAGACCCCTTTGTCTACCTACAAAACAGCTTTAGAGTTTCAAAGGAAAGAACTCTTGCAAACAAATGAATCCTCAATAAGTACTAGTGGTTGCCATCTGTAGATCATACAGTAAGTCATTCTCTACCTTAGGTTGTTGTATGATCTGCATTTGCTTCTTGGACTAACATATTCATGCCAAGGAGCTGGCTTGCCTTTTGTGTTTAGTTCTTTGAAGGAGAGAGAGAGAGAGGAGCCTTTATTCTGAGCAGATGTTTTTTTAAAGAAAAAATAAGTTGAGAGTAAATATACATAAATTTAGTTTATGCCTGCTTCTGAAAACTTGCTCAAAATGTTTTCATGTTTTGTAAAGACATCTGGTAATGTGAGTATGTGTTCTCTCTCAGTTTTTTTTTTGTCAAGCATATATGTGATATGTAGTATGTATACTATATATCAAGTTTAAAAGTTTGTTTTGGAGAATGTGAACATCATTACAAACTCTTCTTTTGTACCAGGAATTAATTTTGTATTACTTGACAACTAAATGAAGAACTGTATTTCATTAGAGCTATATTCAATGTTTGCATACATTTACACAATTATTGAAATTGGAGGTATTGACCACCCCTTTATTTCAGAGCATTTTTCCCCTATGGTCCCTTTTTTGTTTGTTTTGTTTCTTGTGGGGGGGGGGGGGGGGTCTATATATGCAACAACTACATGTCATTGCTTCCCTTTGTCCAAAGAAAATTGAGAACTATCCTCTATGTTTGGATTCTAATCAATACATTTGAATTTGATTGAATCTATATACATGCACCTTGCATACAATGGAAATACTCATTTGAGTAACTCTCCCAGGTCGAAATTCCAGTAGAAACCAGTAGAAACCAGTAGAGACATTCTAATGGTTATACTGGTTTTCCAGAAACCAGTAGAGTCATAATGGTTTCAGGAGGAACTGTGAAGTAAAACCAGTATAAACCTTTACAAACCAGTAGACTCTAATGGTTTGAAGACCAGTAGAAACCAATAGAAACCAGTAAGATGTAATGGTTTGAACATGGGTGTAAAAATCTTAAGTCAAACCATTAGAATCCTTAACAAACCAGTAGAGCCTAATGGTTTTAAAAACCAGTTGAAACCAATAGAAACCATTAAGATCTAATGGTTTGAACATGAGTGAAAAAAATCATAAGTCAAACCATTAGAAACCTTAACAAACCAGTAGAGCCTAATGGTTTTGAAGACCAGTAGAAACCAATAGAAACCATTAAGATCTAATGGTTTGAACATGAGTGAAAAAATCCTAAGTCAAACCATTAGAAATCTTTACAAACAAGTAGAGCCTAATGGTTTTGAAGACCCGTAGAAAGCAATAGAAACCAGGAAGATCTAATGGTTTGAACATGGGTGAAAAAATCCTAAGTCAAACCATTAGAAACCTTAACAAACCAGTAGAGCCTAATGGTTTTGAAGACCAGTAGAAACCAATAGAAACCATTAAGATCTAATGGTTTGAACATGAGTGAAAAAATCCTAAGTCAAACCATTAGAAACCTTAACAAACCAGTAGAGCCTAATGGTTTTGAAGACCCGTAGAAACCATAGAAACCATTAAGATCTAATGGTTTGAACATGAGTGAAAAAATCCTAAGTCAAACCATTAGAAACCTTTACAAACCAGTAGAGCCTAATGGTTTTGAAGACCCGTAGAAACCAATAGAAACCAGGAAGATCTAATGGTTTGAACATGGGTGAAAAAATCCTAAGTCAAACCATAATATAAACCTTTACAAACCAGTAGAGCCTAATGGTTTTGAAGACCAGTAGAATCCAATAGATCTAATGGTTTTAACATGGGTGTAAACATTCTAAGTCAAACCATTAGAAACTTTAACAAACCAATAGAGCCTAATGGTTTTGAAGACCAGTAGAATCCAATAGATCTAATGGTTTTAACATGGGTGCACATTCTAAGTCAAACCATTAGAAACCTTTACAAACCAGCAGATATATCGAGCTCAGTGGTTCTGAAACCAGTTGAAACAAAATTAATATTAGAAACCAGTATATGATCATTCTAGCACCGCCTCTTGATCAATCTAACTTTTTTTTTTTTTAATTTAAGCCCAAAACAGCTAGGGGTGAAAAACTCTCAAATTGCATTAGTCATTATATTAATAGTTTTATTTTACAGATCGTGCAACATCTTGACTTGCCCTATAAGGTCTGCAATATTGATCAAGACTACAAGCCCCAAAACCCCCAAATGCAAATGCGACTCCCGCCTTTTTTGAACGGGTACATACAGCATGGCATCCTCTGTGCTACACTGTAGCACTGTACTGTGTGTCAAGGCATGCAGTGTGTGCGTACAACCAGCCAGCTGCCATGCATGCCGTATGAGACACACACAAGACAGCAAGACAGCCATTCCTATCAACAGCTACAGGAGCCAGAGCAGAGAAAAATCCTTTTATTACTTTGTTTTCCCCTGCTATTCTTCAATATGGGTAAGTTTTAGATTTACCTAATTTATTTGCAATATGTGCAGTAACTGTTTTCTGTTTTGAAACGTAGTAATGTATGATTGTGAACTAGTAGAAGTAGGAGTGCTTTCAACGCCTGCCGCCAAGATGAGAAATGTATTGTATTGTCCCATCTATCTATTTTCATGTTAGATCTTGATGGAATCATCATTCAAAGCAAAGTTTGTGCATTCACCTAGTAGTCCAGCATTCACCTACACATGGCTTTAAAGGCATCGTTTAACAATGTTAAATCTGAGATGCATGGCCCTACGTATCATGCAGTGTCAGTGATATGGTGTAATATTGAAGCCCTGAAAATTTTCGCTTCAAAATGATCATGAATGATGAAGTGCCTCAAAAAGTAAAAATCTTTGACTTTTGAGTGACCGGTTTTACCATACTCATTTTTCCAATAGACTGTAGTGTTATAAAACCGTTGGGGAAAATGGTTTTTTGAAATTTCGAATTCCAATCATAATCTTGATAATCAGACAGGCGATTGGCTTGTATTAAACGTCATGGGATTTTTTACTGACCTAAAGGTTTAGGCCTATAATTATGATTGCAGCATGAGCTTAATCCAGGATTTTGTTTCAGAATCTGAGGCAATGTTACCGAGTCACTTTAACTCTGCTGTAAACCATGTCAATTTTGAGAATTGAGTGCTTTATTCTTTTTTAAAATAAATAAAGTGCTGCATGAGAAGCATAAATGCCTGATCTGCAAGACTACAGTAGTTTTAATGTTATATAATTTTCTCGTCTTTTTAAATTTTGATTACATGTATTTCAATTTAAACGACTTAAGATTTATATTCCTTAAATTCTGTTTTAAACTACTGATTTAAAACACTAGTCAACGCACCCTTTCGCACCCAACGCACTAGTCAACGCACCTTACATTCAGCTATTCAGGTTCGTGGCTATAACTCACCCCCCGTGCTTATCCCGAAAGGGTGTGTTAAGGCGGTACTCCGTTCTCAACGCACCCTAATTTCGAGACAAGCGGGGGAGGGGGCTTTAATCTATTTATGGTGTGTTCGCACAATATATACAGAAGCCCTTATCTGAAAATAAACAGCTAGAACCGTAAATGGTAAACAAAATTCTTTACCCACAGGCTGTACGAAGTAAGAAGATTAAGTAGGCCTACATGCATGTGTGTTGCACGTGCGTCAACCGTTCAATTTGTTTTAACTTTATTTATTTTCTTATTAATTGTAGGCATCTGTTGACATCTTTCGCCAAACAGTGGATTCAAACACATTGTGGCAACAGTATATTGACGTGAGACCATGCAGAAAATGCTACTTTCTCTCAACCTTCTGGATCAGCATTCAGCAGCGTAGCAGCCTCATGACACAGTTGAAGCCTTTATCGGTAATTGGGCAGATGTACTTGTATTATTTCTGTACATATATTTTTCATTCTTCCATGATCATGACACTGATTAATTAGACATCAAGAATTATTCATTTCATTCGAATAAAATGAGTTTCATATATATATATAATTCAATTAATTTCAGATCACTAAAACCTGCAGGTATGTTGCAATAACCGACCATATTTTGTGAGTTTCGAACAGTGTTCTTTTCCCTCCTCAGCAATGGAGCTTTGATTCTTCTTTTATCACCAAACTAGAATTGTATTGATAATTATTTACAAACAAATCCTGAATCATGTTTGCATTGCCAACAAACTTTTAAAATGCAAAGGCATGTTTATATTATGTTTGTAAGCAATGAGAGATTATTTTATTTAGTACTTTTCAGACAGAATTTATTATTTAATTCATTGTTTACATTCTAGTTTTAAAATGTATAAACGTTTTTCTTAACTTGTTTTCCTTTCTTTTTGCTCTATTGATGCATTAGAATTCTTTGCGTGCATGTACCCTGGATCAAGCAGAACTTGCATTATACAGGAGATTCCACCCAAAATCTAAACCATGAGTCCCAGCTGAAGAGGAATATTTCCAAAATGAGGTCTACACACACAGAGGTTACTTTCCCCTTCATTATAGAGATACAGAGAGAGGGAGAGAGAGAGAGATGGGGGGGGGGGGGGGGTGAGTTATAGCCACGAACCTGAATAGCTTAGCTGTAGAACTGAAATGCCCATTCATGTCACTTGCCATTTTGATGAATTACAGGGTTTACAAACATACATGTAGGCCTACATTTTTACCCTTTGGGTAAAAGATCTTGGTATTTGCGTATATTTGTTATTACTATTTATGATGTAGACCTGTTTCATAATGCTTATGTAGTAGATCAGTCTCGTGCTCACCCCCACCCCCTTCGTATCGAAATGTCAATTCCTAAAACCTGTGGCAAATTATATAAATTGGTAATAGAGAAAAATTGAGTGAGGTAAATGCAATACAAATCTATTCCAATCTTAAGCACTTAAGACTTGTTAAGGTATGGCACGTGAACCGCCAAAAAATTAAAAAAATTGTGTCTTGAAATAAATGGGAAAGTAGTCCTGCAGCTCATCATAGTGACGTACATTACCGATTCAGCCAATTTAAAATGCCCATAGGTTTAGTGATCACAGCTTTCAACAATCCATAACCACCTTATTTTGTGTCAGATTTAATGTGGTATTTTTAAAAGTATAGTTGTCTGTTAAGGTTGGATTTCTCTTTAAAAAGTGTAAAGGGTAAGCCCTATGTAACATAATGTGATGAGGCAATTTTCGTTATAAAACCAAATCAAAGTGCCGCGGAACAAATTATTTCGTTCACCTGTTAAGAATAATTGTATTTCGATAGTCGGAATGCGAAATGCAAACATGTGTTGTTAGGTAGGGCAACACATAATGTATTCAATTTGCATTCTGACTATTTAAATACATTTATTGGTAAAAGGTGAATTTAATAATTGGTAATGAGGCACTTAACGAGGACCTATTCATTAAATTTGATAATTACAATACGACAATGGCCTACATGTATTCATATGAATGGGAAATCTTTGAACTGTTATGTCGTTTTCTGAGGGTTCATAATTTTATATGTTCAAGGATTCATAATTCTACAAATGAAGTAGGGTTCTTAATTCTGAAAATGAACTAGGATTCATAATTCCAAAAATGGAATCCCTTACCGAACTGAAGGCCTTCGCTAAGCAGTCGCATAAGCAGTCACAAGCAGTCGATATAAGCAGTCGCAAGCCTTCATTTGCAACATGCATGTCAATGTATTGCTGCAAGCCTTCGAAGGCTTGTAAGCAGTCGATAGGCCTTCCCACAGCCAAGTTAATATGCAAATTAGCTTCGACTGCTTATAATGAAGCTCTAAATAAGCAGTCGACTGCTTATAATGAAGCTCTAAATAAGCAGTCGACTGCTTATAATGAAGCTCTAAATAAGCAGTCGACTGCTTATAATGAAGCTCTATATAAGCAGTCGTGTTTAAACCTTCCTAAGCCTTCGAAGGCTTATAAGCAGTCCATAGGCCTTCCCACAGCCAAGTTAATATGCAAATTAGCTAAGCCTTCATCATTGACTGCTTATACCTTCGTCGTTGAATCACCTAAACCTTCGTTGTCGACTGCTTATCCCCTAAACCTTCGAGCGTTGTCCACTGGGTACAAACCTTCGACTGCCTACCTAAACCTTCCGTCATCAACTGCAGCTGCGCTAATTTGCTCAAATATATTTGTGAACAAGTATTTACAAAATCAATGACCATGCAATTTCCTAATCTGTACAGAAAGCAAACTCAATTTTGTATTGTGTAATTGTATTACTCACCTTCTGGACAAAATGAAGATGTTTAAAGTAGCTCCAGCAGCTAGCAGTCCAGTGCAAAGCAAAGTTGATCGTATTTCTCCAACACAAGAGTGCTTGTGTGGGACTGTAATCTTGGTAACAAAATTCGATCCTTTCTCATTTTGTTAAATTCTTGCTCTAGAATACTCTCAAAATTCTTCTTTCCTGGTGTAAATAATCTACCCCTTATTCCCTATACTGTGGGTTTTACAGGAAGACAAATCTGGCGAAATTGCAAAGTAATGATTGAAATATGCGCCGTTCAGCTCAGCTCAGAGTCTCAGTGAAGATTTGAATTTGAAAATTACCGGTTGGCCTATTCGCCTTCTACCACTAGATGGCAGCACACATTTGGAAAATGAAGGCCTTCGCGGTCTTCTTTAAAAGTGACTGCTTATCTTTGAAGGCTTATTTTCAGCGACTGCTTATCTTGAAGGCTTATTTTCTACTGACTGCTTAATAAGCAGTCAACATTTTTTGACTGCTTATATGAAAGTCTTTGAAGGCTTAGCTCTCGCAAACTAATAAGCAGTCGAAGACTAAAACAAGCCTTCGAAGGCTTATGAAGTCTTTGAAGGCTTTGTGAAGGCTTAGCGAAGGCTTATCGAAGGCTTATTAAGCAGTTTTCTTTGGTAAGGGATATGGTTCATAATTCCGAAAATTAAATAGGGCTCAATATACTTCCAAAAGTTTATTATTCTGAAAATGCAAATAGAACCCTTTATCCTTTTTGGAATTACGAACCGTCAATATAATGAATCCTATTTTATATTCAAAATAATACCATTTCATTTGCGGAAATATTAACCCTATTTTAATATTGTTATTAACGCCCCTTTTTCGATTCTAGAATTACGCACCCTATTTATTTTTCGTAATTATGAAATCTATTTCATTTCTAAATTCAAACCTTTTAAAATATGGACCATATTTCATTTGTTTATCAAATGTCAGGATGAAATTTGTCATAATACACTGTACTATCAAGTTACATTTATTGATGAACAGCACACTCTTTAGTTACCATAATATCACATCACTTGTCAAAATAATAAGGCCATGAATGATTTTCTTTTGCTTGTGAATGTAGTAGGCTTATATTATGTAGTACACAATATTTCATTTCCAATTGCTGCAACTTTATATCAATCCTTTACATATACTTTGACAATCTACAGGTAAAAATCATGCTTTGAGTTATCATTTGTGAATTATTCTCCAAATTGAAATGCATGAATAAAGTACTTAAATTTGTGCAAATGAACTTATTCTCTATGGTGGAAAATTACAAAAGAAATTTCTCATCAAAAATGCATGCTCATTGTTTCTACTCATGATGCTTACCGTAAGAAAACTTGTAAATTGCCAAACCTACTCTTTTAAACATCTACTCCAAATTTTCAAGATTGATTTCTCTCTGTTAAAACTGGCCATAACTTTTAGACAATAATTAGACAATTTAACAGTTTTTTTTTGTGTCTTCTTTTGTTGTTGAAATGTGTAAAAAAAAAAAATCCTTTTTTTATTTAAGCTGTTAAACGTTCATGTAATTGTAATCACTATATGATGTATGATATTCTGACAGATAATAAAAGGATACACTGTTAAGTGTTAAATATGATAAAGATGAACCAACAGGATTGTGATGTCTTTTGTTAACAGATGTTTGCGAGAGAAGTGGCTGAACCTCAAGAAAATGGTTAATTGTGTTGGAAGCGAACTTCATGCCAGCTCTTGTCATTTTCGTGTCTTCTTTGCAGACCAGCATGCTCTTTCAAAGTAAAAACAAAAAACAAACAAGGGCTGGCAGATTTTGTGAAGAGTACTGTGTTGGAAGTGCATTGAGGTAGTATAATTTCAACTGATCAAAACAATGTCAACCATGTAATGTAACCAATGCTATGGTTCAATTGGGGATTCCTACTTGTTTTCCACTGGTCTCCAAATGGTCCCAGTTGGGATTCCTACTGGTCACCTAATGGTTCCATTAGAGTTTTCTACTGGTCTTCTACTGGTCCCCTAATGGTTTCTGTACGGATTCCTACTGGTCTCCTAATGGTCCCAGTTGGGATTCCTACTGGTCTCCTAATGGTTCCATTAGGGTTTTCTACTGGTCTTCTACTGGTCCCCTAATGGTTTCTGTACGGATTCCTACTGGTCTCCTAATGGTTCCAGGACTTCTTTTTTACTGGTCTAATGGTTCCAGCACTTCTTTTCTACTGGTCTCCTAATGGTTTTGTATCGATTCCTACTGGTCTCCTACTGGTTCCAGTGGGGATTTCTACTTGTTTCCTACTGGTCTCCTAATGGTTCCAGTTGGGATTCCTACTGGTCTCCTAATGGTTCCGTTAGGTTGTTCTACTGGTCTTCTACTGGTCTTCTACTGGTCTTCTACTGGTCTTCTGCTGGTTCCAGTACGATTTTTTTCTACTGGTTTTTAATGGAAAAAGCGCCACTTTCCATATTGAAACCAGTAGAGAATTGACCAGTAGAAACCATTAAAAATCTGTACTGGTTTTCTCTAATGGTTTCTATGGGATTTTCGACCTGGGCTGCAGTACTATAGCAGATGTACATTCTTAGTTTGGCAGGGATCCAGGCTAATTCTTGTCTTGAGATGCATCCAAGTTATGATTTTCAGGGTCTGTACATGTATGCATGCAGGGGCCCCCTGTTAAGATTTTGAATTATGTTTTTTTTTCCCTGTTCAGAAATTGTGGCGCGTGATGACCAAATGCCTGTGAGTGTTAAGTGCTGAATATGGTTTAAAACAAGAAAAGAGAAAAATACCTAAATTGGAAATTTATGCAAACACTGATTAACTTTTCAATAAACAATGAACTTTCACTTATGTATATATTTCATTCTTTTAATTTGCAGATGAAAAGACACAACGCAGAGGTGGCCCCATTACAAGTAGCATCAGGAGTCAAGTCAATCCCTGATGTTAAGGGGCAGGTCCTCTCCCATGGGCGTGGAGGCGGGGTACTGGATTCCAAGACGTCCCTCCAGAGAGAGGCATCGCCCACCACACAGATACATGCTGCAGCAGTCAATGGCCAGAAAACAGCTCTACAAAAGCTTCTCAAAAGTATGTCATACTGGAGATTTTCATGCAAAAATTATGATATTTATAATCACAGAAAAGTTTTTTAACAGATTTATTTCCATGATTTTGAGCAAATATGGCTCTACTTTGTCTTTGAGTACCGGTAGAGGTTTTTTTTTATGTCCTTATGCACTTGGATTTAACTTATAAAGTTTTCATATTTTTTTACCAGATGTCACATGAATAAAGAATGGCAAACTTACTCTGTTGCAGCATATCTAATGATAGAAATGTACATGATGTCTTGTAATCATCAAGCAACTACCGGTACTTAAAAGTTAAAATTAAACCTCGATCCTTTCAAAACTTACTGGGCATGTCCAAATTATCGGCTATTTTGAGTTTAGTACATGCCTGAGTACCAAGGAATGATGAACATAATACGCATTCAAAGTATAATTTTCCTTTGATACATCAGGTATACTGAAATATTTTTGGTAATCATTGTTTGTCAGGAGCTGAATGTTTCTGTTCCATTATAAGTAGCAAATCCTAAAGAAGTTGGCTATTCTATAAATAGTTATATTTTGTTGTATGATTATCATAATATGATTATCATAATTCCATAGGTTAACTATCCCAAATTCATTGACCAGACTTGTACATAAACTAGTTACTCTATCATTTTGCTAATCATTGTTGTTTTCATTTTGGTAGCTTACCCCAAAGAAGTTGACCAGGCGGACCAGTTTGGCCGGACACCTCTCATGTTTGCTGTGCTTGCTGACCGGCTGGACTGCGCTGAGGTCCTGATCAAGAAAGGTGCCAATGTAGACGCCAAAGATAATGGTGGAAGAACAGCTCTGCACTGGGCTACTTACAAGGTAGGTCCAGGCTTCTCACCAGATAGTTGTCAAGAGTCAATATGGTATTATTAAGATTAATATTATTTATAGAAAAACCTTTACATAAAGATCACTCAAGGGACACCAGAAAAGCTGTCATTAGTGGTGGTTATTTTACCTGACTGCTAAGAAAGCTTAAATGTTTGTTAGTAAGCAATCAATGGCTTCAGGTCCTCTCCGAGGGACCTAAGGCAGGTGGTCTTTATGTACAGGTTCCTTCAGTACACAGTTTGATGTGAAACAGTATTCAATTGAAGTGGAAAATGTTATCTTTTGGACAAGTGGTCCAGCTTTTCCTATTATATCAAATAATCAACTTATTCAAGTCACAATATACAGCGAAGATAGTTGCAATTTCAATGAAAG